TAAATCATGACGTACAGGAACCATGTGACTTAGACTCAGGTGTGTGTGGAGCGATGAGGAGACTGTAACCTTCCTCACACACACAGAACCTCAGTACAGTCTTACGGGGTAATTCGTGCTCCATCTCATTAACATGAGCTTTTTGAATATGTTAACGAAAACTTCCTTTCTGCCGCACCACACTCAAAAGTTCAGATGCCATTAAATCCTTTTTCCACAACATCCAACTGAATGTTTCTTTCAATCACAGCACAGACACAAATCTACCCCCCGCTCGTGTCTCAGCAGGCGACCTTTCTTTCCCCAAAGTCCTTCATGCCTGCAGCTCCTCCGGAGGCCTGTCAGGGTTTATACATCAGACACCTGCGGTGGGGATCGCTGAGCCCATCACATGTGACAGGGGGAACACGCTGAGGTAATGGACAGCGACAGAGCACGGCTCGACTCACAACTCACTGCTCCAACCAACAAGACTCCCTCTGTCTTCAGAGGATGGGACGCAGCGAGAATCTCGATTCCACTGGTGGTGGATGGCTGATTGGAGACGGACAGGCTGTCACGCTGGATGGCAGGTGATTTTTTGCGTGGAGGGAGAGCGGAGTCATTTGTATGCAGAGTGTTTTTTGTTTGTTTGACTTCTGAGGAGGAGGCTGAAATGTTTTATCTCATCTGTGAGCTCTGACATTTCTCCTCTCCGACAAGAACAGCTGCTGCATTTGTCCACACCATACGCCCCTCTGCATTAACCAAAGACTATATATAAAGTTTATATACTGCCGTAATGTTGTTACTGCCCTGACACAACTTTATTTATACAGCACCTTTCATACAACATGCAGCTTCTGTTCTCAGTTGCTGACCTCGCCTGCTTTGCCTGCTCCCCAGTAAACCACTCAGCCTTCTGTCCTCGATGAAGAGCTTCGCTTTCACGTTCCTGGTTTCTGTTCACCTGTTTCCTGCGGCTGTGGCAAGAGACTGTCAGTCAGCTCTACATAGTGAGTTCACCTGTTCTGCTGCCTCTGCTGATTTCCTCTACTGTGGATTACCTCGTCATGTGGTCATCATCACCGCTGGTTCTTCGACTCCTCGCCGATTCTGACCTACCTACATCCAGCTCCTCACAGGTGTGTTGGCTTCCCTTGTGTGTTCACCCGGTACCTGACCCTCTGCTCCTCTGACATCGCCTCCTGTCAGCTCCCTCATGGTACCGCTGCACACGTTTGAACTGTTCACTGTGTGTGTGCATCCTGAAGACACCACTAACTCATCTGCTCTCTGCTTCGGTGTGCCACGGCAAGCACTTTGGACTGAATTTGTGTCTTGGAAGGTTCCAAGCAAACAAATTAAGTCTCACAGTTTTTTCACCTGCCTGCTCACTCTGTGTTTGATGAGTAGTTTTGTGAAAGACTGTTACAAACTGTCCTTCTGTCTCTGGTGCAGCTAACAGGTTCAGACCACGCCCATGACAGTATCTTGCACATCATATGTCGGCCTGGAAAGTCCATGACCAAATGTGGATATGTGACGAGATCGGAGTGAGAATGTGTTGCCCGAATATGATCATAACCAGGACAAGCCTAATAAACAGATTATTCATGTCCATGTAATTGGTCTTCAACTGGGCAACATGATGAAGCTCCCCCTACTCTAAGTTTCTCTGTCAGTTTGGGAAATCACTCCTCTTCCTCAGCCACTCTTTCCTGTGGTGTCCCTCAAGGCTCCATCTTAGGCCCAATCACTTTTCGTTGTACATGCTTCCTCTTGGCCAAATAATTAAAAAAGGTAACATCTCCTTCCACCCCTATGCTGATGATACACAGCTGTATCTCCCTATCAAGCCTAACCACAAGTCCAGTCTCATAAACTACCTCGAGGACATAAAGAACTGGATGGCACTGAATTTCCTCCAGCTGAATGAGGGCAAATCAGAAGTTGTCCTCCCTGACTCCATTAGAGGGATTTCTGACCAGCTCGGTAGCCTCTCTAACTTTGTTAAACCCCATGTCAAAAATCTTGGAGTGAAACTTGACTCTGCCTTTAAATTTGACAAACAAATAAATGCAGTAGTAAAAGCCACCTTTTTTTCAACTCTGCACCATTTCCAAAGTCAAGCCATTTCTCTCCCTCAAAGACCTGCAGACAGTCACCCACGCTCTCATCTCCTCCTATTTGGACTTCTGTAACTCTCTGTACACTGGTATCAGTCAGTCCTCTTTGTCCTGCCTCCAGCTGGTTCAGAACACCACTGCCAGACTCTTCACAGGCCCCCACCATTGAATCATTTGAGTCCAGGCTCAAAACCTACTTTTATTCATTAGCGTTTGTGCCCCCCTGATGTGGTTTTCCCTGATGCATGCCTGTGTGTGTTGTGTCTCTAAATGTGTGAGCTGTGTACCTGACAGTTATGTCACCCCTACGTTCCTTTTCTTTTTAGCATTATATTCCTTTTGTCCAGCACTTTGGTCAACGAGAGTTGTTTTTAAATGTGCTTTACAATTAAATTTGAGTTGAGTTGAGTTGAGTAGGTTCATGGGTGTTGTAGTATTAAGAGCCGCACACCAAACCGGTGGAAAACAACGTCTTATTTGTGCATTTATTTCTTCCCTAAACACAAATATGCATATGTTTATATATTTCTTATTTTAAAAAACTACTTCACCGTCTTCCCACATATTGCTGTCTCTTAATAATAATAATAATGCATTTTATTTATAGGAACCTTTCAAAGCACTCAAGGACACCTTACACGACACAGTTTAATAAAGACAAGCAGTGATGTATCCATGGATCATGAAGTCTTCAGAAGCAGCCCTGGTTTGGAAACAGTGCTTTAGCTTTAAAAAAAAATAGTCGTTGCCTGCACCCGTTTTTTTTTTTTTACCTTTTATCTGAAACTAAATCTGTTTTTGGAAATGTTTGCATCTGATTTTAGTGTCATGGTTGAAAAGCATTTAACCAATATTCAAATGTCTTTTTTATCCTGGAAGTATTCTGTGAACAACAAAATGTTGCAGTCTGTGTATAAAGAGGCGTCTGCAGCCTTTGTTCTTCCAGAGGAGGCACAATGGTTATAAGCTGAGATAAATCCTAGAGATGTGTTATGGTTTCCCCGCTGTGACTGGCTTTCTCACCCGCTGTGAGAGCGGAAAGTCTGCTGCATTATTTAAAAATCACCCTCCTGGTCTCTAAACCTCTGCAGGCCCGGCAGAAAACTAAACTGTTCATCTGTGTTTGAGGGGAGAAGTTAAAGAAAAAAAAAAAAGAAAAATGTGGCTGTGCGTCGGACCACACATGGAGAAGGTGGTGGGGTTTGACTTGTCTTCATGGCTGTCCCTGAACGGACTTGTGCTCCCCGGTGTCCTCCACATATTCTGCCAGATGGTGTTCTTGTGTCAGTGAAGGGAACAGAGGTGTTCACAGCTCCGCAGCAGGAGGATGACAACACTTCTCTGCACTTACACTCAGCTGTGTGGGATGTAGCCTAAAAACTCCTTCACACAAAAATACCCTGCTGGGATGTTGAAACATGATGTGTTTTACAGAGGGAACCAGTGATGTTGATTTCACAAAGCAAAGGAAGAAATCATTAAAATCTTTATTTATGTTGCATCTTTCAGACTTACAGTGCAGATTAAAGTGATTTACATCTAAGTGTACACACAAAAATAACATTAAACAAATAAAATGAGGCAGACACATTAATAAGGCTCCAATTGTATTCATTGAATTAAAAAATAAGAATTTTTATTTAATTAAAAACAAAATAAACTTACAGTAAGATTTCATAATCGTCTAATGGAGGCATGGGTGGATTTCACCACCTCCACCACCTCTCCTACAAAGAAACAAGACACACAGACTTTTATTCCTTTTACACCAAATTAGCTTGTGTTATCACAGATAAACCTGCTGCAAATCTGCTACAACTCCAACTGGCTCAACACTTGTAATGGTGTACACCAGGGTTCTGTGTTAGATCCACTGTTATTTTCAATTTATATTAATAGTCTTGGTCAAAACATGGTTGGCGCCAATTTTCATTTTTATGCCAGTGACACAGTGATACATATTGTGCCTGCTTTTCCATCACAGAGGCTGTGGCCATATTGCAGGCTGTCTAAAATGTTTCCAGATTCAGCTTTCACAACTAAAGCTGGTTTTAAATGATGATAAATCGAAGGTCATGCATTTCTCTGATAGTTGGAAGAAGCCTATAAACACTCCTGATGTTCTTACTGCTGTAGGAGATGAGGTAGAGGCTGTCACCTCTTACAAATACCTCTGCATTTTTTTAAACCTCAGGTTGATGATCTTCTTAAAAAGCTGAGGCTGAAGTTTTATTTCAGAAACAAATTCTGTTTCTCCTCTGAGGCCAGAAAAACAGCCTCTGTCAGTCTGTCAATTTACAAACAGAATTCCAAAATATCTTTTTCAGTCAATAAAACTTGTTGTTAGTATTGGACCTTTTTCCTGTTGACCTATTACGTCACAGACCAAACAATGGACAAACAAGTTAGCTACGGTTAGCTAGCAGCTAACTGCTACCATGGTGGACAACTTTACAGCTCTGTACATTTGGTCCGTCCAAAAAGTCACGGCTCTGGATGTAGATTTCTCCATGTTGTTACCGGCTTCTTCTTCTCTTACACATTTAATGCTATTGGACTTCCGGGTCAAAGCCCGGGGCGGAAACTGTGGAGCATGCTCAGAGCGCCTCGGCCAGTTTGGGTCTGATTGACTGTATACATGCAGGAGTCACATGATCTGGGTGTGTTAGTCCCACTGTGACAAATTCACTTTAGGACCATTTCACTCACACTAACATGTTTACAGGGATTTTAAAAGTTCTGAGTGATTCTCTAACCTGCTGCCACTGTATGTGTGTGTGTGTGTGTGTGTGTGTGTGTGATTGCCTGCAGGTGTCAAACCAGCTGCGTCTCATCTCTGTAATGAAGCTCCTACAAATACTCAGCCTTGTTACTTCCACTCTGCTGGTTTGTGTCAAACCCTGCTGCTCTGCCCTGAAACACTGCAGTACTGTGCGTTTTCGTTTTTTGGAAGGTACGATTGATTTGTTCTGTGCCTGAGTACAATTGCCCCCCCCCCTCCACTCTCTCTGCTCAGCTTTCACATTAGTAATGCTGCTAGGTACCAGAATACACTTGCGTCATCATCTGTGCAACAATTCTTTACGTTGCTGCTACAGTATAGAAAAGTGCTCTTATCCAAAGATCCTGAGCCCGTACGACAGAGTCGAGCTACACATTATTCCTGCCAGTGTTTGTATTTTGGAGACAATGTCAAGAACAAGCTCTCCTGCTTTCATAGGTTACCAAAGTACTCATGAACCATGAGACCTTTTCAAGTGGACCCAGCCGCTGATCAATGAACCATGCCCAGGTAAGACACACACAGTGTTCACATTAATCAAACAAAGTGTGTATTCATATCCAGGCCCAGGTCCCTGATGTAAAAACCTCCTCAGTTTCCTCAGAGCTTCCCCTCACCCACAGCACATCTTCGCCATGCAATCCAGTCTCACTCCGAAGTCGTTGAAATCCTTCGCTCAGTCAGTGACTTTAACTGACAAAAAACAGCCATCCTTTCATGTTGGCATGATACACAACTGGTCACCATTACTGTTTAACGGTGACGAGACAACAACAAAAGTCAAGGCGGTGGAAGTCTGGGTGGAGTGGAGAGGTGGGAGGGGTGGTGGACGGGACGGGTCCAACAACCACCAACTTTCACCCAGGAGTGTTCACTTCCTGTAACAGCCTATTTCCACCAGATGCGTGTTGGTTGCGTCTGGGCTCCGGCACGGCAGCAGAGCCGATACGATTCAATTCTAGTCAATGTGTGTGTTTCCACCGGCTGCAGCTGTGCTGCGTTCCGGCTCCGTCTCAGCTCCGGCACTCCGGAGCCCTCCGCAACAGATACGCAGGATTTCTATTTTTGCAATTTAGCACAGAGCAGATTGTGTGGGGCAGGAAGTCGTGCACAGAAACAAAATAAAACATCCGGTTAATTTTCAAAATAAAATACATAGTGTTCACGGTGGATCATATTTCCCTGCACTACACCTTGAAAACTACATAATGGGCAGAGGCAGGCCTGAAGTCAACAGGTCAGAGGTTTTTGGACGTCATTTCACCCCGTGAACACCATGGACGAGGAGATGTTAATCATGGCAGTGCACCGAGATGTCTTCCGGCAGAGCTGCACCGCTCCGCACAGCAAACACAGCCGGTGGGTATTGACAGACGGGGGAGCACGCAGCAGATAACCAGCGCTGCCGTTCCGCAACGGACACGCATCCAGTGGAAATCCGGCGTAAGACTGTAAAGCCAAACCCTGATCTTTTTTCCTAAACCCAACTATGTGTGTGTCAACTTGCGGTGTTGTACCGACGCTTTTATTTTGAAAGAGACTGTATGCAAACTGTACATGTCCTGTGAAAACAGAAGTGTATTTTGAAAACAGACAATGCATGTAACAGGCTGAAGTTGACACAGCGTCCCAGAACGTCAACAACCAACACACCCAGGGTACCTTGGACGTCATATGTGGACGTGGAAAGTCCATGACCAAACGTGGACATGTGACGTATGTGTTGCCCCGTGCTCTGCAATAAATATCTTTTTGTCTCCTTCCTGTGCACCTGTTCTGCAGCTCCATGTAACAGGAACTTTTTCCATGTATAAGAGCCTCCACTCACTTTCCTGGATGACACAGTCTCCTCTCTGTCTGCTGAGGACTGTTCATTTTGTATTTCTTCTGTTTTGTTTTGGTCTGTAAAATGATGGTGGATTAAACTCCAGAAAGGATCCAAACAAATGGAGCAGCATGGAGCAGCTTGATGAAAGCCTCTAATGATCAAACAGGAGTAGGTCACCTTGCCCAGAGGCATCACGGCTGCACCGGCCCATCAGATACATCTGCAGCAGTCAATTAGAGCGAATCCAGCGTCGGTGGAAACACAGAGCTCGCATGAGTGGAGAGAAGGGAGGACTGGATGTGTCATCCTTTTTATCTCGGCCCTCATTTTATATTCTTCAGTTGTTTTCATGCAGCGTGTGAGTGATGGCTTCCCACATTTAGCTGCTGCATATTAGCATACTTCTCTGAGTGGAGAGCAGATTCAACATGAGGAGAAGGAGAAGGGCAAACTGAGCACCAGTTCTGCAGAGGATACTTTGTAGTTTTAATATTTCTGACCTGATGCTTTAACAGGGACGACTTTATGAATCATGATGGCAGAGGAGAAGTGAAAATGATGAGCGACTGTTTCACATCAAACATTCAGAACAGAATACTTAAAGGCACAGGTGGTTTTAGAGTTATTCAGGTTGATCAGACGTCTGCTTAGGGCAGAGCTTTACACTCCTGTTACACCACCAGACAACAGACTTTTTCTTTTGTTAGGATAGAAATCGATACAGCAGAACCAGAAATAGCGTCATTTTTATTCCCTCCATTCTTCTTCATCGTCAGAACCTGGAGCCTTCGTTAGTACCCACAGTCAGTGGTGGAAAAATACTGAGATATTTTATTTTTACATTTTTACCACAGTGTAGAAATACTCTTTTACAAGTGAAACTGCTGTGCTCAAAATGTTACTTAAACAAACAAAAGTTTTAGCATCAAAACGTGCTTAAAGTGCCAAAGGTAAAGTATCCATTATGCAAAATAGCCCATTTCAGAATAATGTACCTACATATTATTGATGCAGAGGAAGGAGCAAGTCATTGTTTTGCAAGTCTCAAGTAGTCTCAAGTCTTCGCACTCAAGTGCCAAGTCAAGTCCCAAGCCCTACACTTTGTGTTTTGAGTCCTAACAAGTCATAAGGCCCGTTTCCACCGCAGGAACTTCTTCAGTGGAAATGGGCCTATAATGAGCTCTTTTCCAAATATAGCAGCATTTTTTACAACAGAGGAATAATGTATTCAATTCACAAAAATCATAAATGCTTTTTAAACATTTGTTGGAAGTTGTTGCATCTCTGTCTGTAATTTTTGATGTTAATGTTTTACATGCTGCGAGTCATTTTTGTTGACCACTGCAAAGTTTTTTCTCATGAATGAAATGATCTTTGGCAAGGGGCGTCGCAGTGGAGGAAAACTGGGACTGATTAATGTGTCTGTCTTGTCTGACAGGAATTTATGTCAGTTTAACATGTACAATATGTTACATGCACAGTGATAGTGTTGTTTATTGGCTTTAAACTAATTAGATGAAATCAGTTTTATAAATTTTAATCAAATTAGATCAAAACTGAAAAAAAAGTTGACTTAACATTAAGAAATGATGCCAGCATCAGAAGAGATGAGTTTTTGTGTCAAGTGAGCATAACTCATCTGTGTAGTACAGTGGTTTTCAAATGTTTTGTGCCCATCGCACACTAAAGGTTGAGCCAAAATCTCAGGTGCACCTGAATTTATATCTGTGCACAGCAGCTTCTATAACGTGTGGTATCACTCTTATCACGACATAAGACAATAAAAATGAGCAAAGATAAGACAGGTAGCTCTGATTCTGTCTACTGACAGGTTTTTTTCCTCTTATCTTTCAGTGGTCGGTCGTCTTCTCTGGAGCTTTGTTGTAATTTGCTCCGTACAGTAAAGCGATCCATCGTCCCGCTCACGGCTTTCCACTTTTAACTGTTACCATCCCTCACACTGGCTGCCAATCAGAGCCTTTGATGTGTCACACACTTAAAATTCCCACACGTGAATGGTGACAAAAAGGTTCCCTGTGAAGTTCTTTTGAATTGAATTAAATTGAATTTCATTTTTTAGCTAAAGTTGTCTCTTTATTAGGAAATGGGTGTGCACAACATACTGATACAGTCAATTAGAAATTCATTCCTAACTTTTTGTACAGGTCCAGTTGAATATTGCAATAATAATGTGTGGTTATCACAAAATCCCACGACACACCTGGAGTGGCCAGTGACCAGTGTGCTGTGTCATGGATGGATGGAGTTACAGTGTATATCCTTCTTTTAACTCTTGTCATCTTACGGTATTTATTGCTCTCTATTATTCTTGACAAACATAGCTGTCAGTTTATTCTTATGGATTTATTTCATAATTTTATTGTAGTTGTTATCATACATCGTCTGTCCTTCCAGCCCGTACAAATGTAAATTCAGGGCGTTGCTGTGAAAGAACTTAATGCTCGGTTTTCACTGAACAAACAATGGTTGATGAAGAATCTATATAACAGTCTGAAACAGACCATTCTCAAAAGTAAATAAAGTTTTTGCTGTCAGTATTTAAGAAATAAAATCTTGAATTTAGGATTTTTGTTTGTAATAAAGTTTATTTGTAAACTAATAATAATAATAATAATAATAATAATAATAATAATTTTATTTTAATTTTAGTTTATTTATTTATTTTTCTTCAAAATGGTATTGCCACGTTTACCTAACTAAAATATTTGAGTGACATCTTTTCCGGAAGTGATTTTATTCTGACATTCTGGACCGGAAGTCAGTGTGTAGTTCACTGTCTGTCTTGACGGTCGGTTTAAATGGGAACGTAAACGCTCCCAGCAGCAGCTCACAGCGTCACACACCGAACAGTGAGCACAGACTGTGCTGCTGCAGCTGCAGGAGGAGAGAGGAGTAAATGTTGGTGAAAGGAGTTTGTTGGATTTATTAGTTTGTCCGGAGGAAACTGTTCAAACTTCTACAGCCGAGAATAAAGAGACATTCAGGAGGAAACAGCAGCAGCTCATCTGTCAGCGGTGAGTTACACTTATTTTAAACGTTACAGGTCTGATTGAGTCTCATGATGAAGGTTAGTTATCACACATTTAACCCACAGCTTCATCGTCATCAGTTACTCTGAAAAACGACCTTAAATTTATTAATTTAAACCAGTATTCACCAACTTTATGATATTCAGTTCAGTGTTGGTTTGTGACCGTTAAAACTTTTGGTTTATAACAGCGATAGTGTAAAATAGGCCTATCATTACAATAAAAACATTAATATGAACAAGGATAATTTAGTAGAAAAAAGTTCATACTAGCTGAACCTTTGTGGTGTTAAAGTATCTGAAGATAAATAACTTAAAGTTGTGAATAAAAAATGAACCTCAGTTTGGTGTCCTCTGTGGCTTTACTGAATTTAACTTCATTCTTTAATGTGTGTGAACGGAGACAAAATTCAAACTGTTGTCTATGAATGTTTTAATTTTATGTTCATAAATCAAATTATATTTCTGTTAGTCAAATAAACTATTGAACCTGATCAATAAATCAGCCCGACTGATATTATTGGCCGATATCAGCCTCTGGCATAAACCTGTATGTATCAAACGTTACATGTCACAGTGTTTGATTTGTGATTTGGCTGCAGTCAGGGGCGCAGATACAGACAGTACAGACAGGCAGTGTGAGTGCACAGGGGCCCCTGAGGTGGAGGGGCCGGGCAGAGATCGGGCCCTTGCGGGTGATTCAGAGTGCTACCTTGGAAATACTGCATATGGATAGTATTCATTCATTTTAATACATTATAATATTTACATAATATCCTCAGAAAGGCAAAGCCGTCTGTGACATGGTTTTATTTTATTTTATCATTCAGTAGCTATCTTAAACAAACACATGCTTTATCTATATACGCTATAAAATCTATAAATATACTATAAAAACTGTTCAGCTAAATGATTCATTTCTTACATAGTTTAATGTGTTTGTCAGATATGCAGTGATGATTGCTGGGTAATATGTGATTTGCTGTTGTCCAGTGGAGACAATACATGCATGATAGTGCACAGTGAGGTCTGTCATAACTCCCTCACACCACCGGCTGAAGCTGAAAGTGACTGTATAAACTGCGATGACATCAGAGAGTTAATGTTGCATTAAATGGCTCATCTAAACATTTCATGATGCTCTGATACTGAAAACAGAAGGTTGTTTAATTTTAATGTTTAAGTTTGTCACAAAAACCAAAAAGAAGAAGCAGAGACATTAATTAGTACCTCTTTAGATTGTTTCCAGTGCTGCACAGTCAATGGTTTTGTGAGTGATCTGTGAGCGCGGTCAGACTCAGTGGTGACGTGATTGTGTTTGATGCTTTTGTCACTTTGCTCCTTTTCTTTCCTTTCTAATGTCTGAAAACACGTATGTGACTGCACCGTGTGATCTCTGTGCAGTGTCTTGGTTTTGTCTCTGTGCTGCACATCCAGACTCTCTGCACCATTTTGAGATCTGTACCTGTAGAGCAGGGGCGTATCCACGATTTGAGGACGTCGGGGTCTCAGCCTGGACCTCTGAAGGGGGACTCTCTCTCGGGTCTTTTTTATTTTGGGCTCTATTCTGGCGCTTCTTTATGCACTCTGGCATCATATTAATCCTTAAAAGCTGTTTGTTTTCAGATTGATTATGACTTGGGATGTTAAAAATATGAGTAGTTGTTGGGAATTAGTGTTGAGTATAAACAGAACACTTTGCAACTGCTTTTATTAAGATTAAAGGTATAATATGTAGTTTTTCCACATAAAAATGTCTAAAAACGACTAAACCAGTATTATATATTTTGTTTAGTTGTGTACTTTGATTATCAGAAATGTTTCCAACAATTTTTCAAACCCAAATAAATATGAAAAAGTTATGGACCGTGTCATTAGGTCGCATGTCAATGGTGACGTAACTCCAGTTACCATAGCCATTAAATGAAAGAGAAGAAGAAGCAGCAGACCGGATGAGACGTCAGAGAATGAACGTTACTGTTGCTAGGCTAAGCTAACTCGTCATGGATCATGATTATGCACTGACGGTTGCTGCACCTTCTGACACCGAAACGTACGGGTCAACCAAGCGATCCCAGAAGAATTTGGGATAAGAAGAGAGCTAAATCAAGGATAAATATTGGTGTGGCCTTTCCGAGATGAAGGGAGCTTCGTGAAAATCTAGGACTACAATTTGACGCCGACCTCACGTGTGTCCTACTAGACAGGTAAGCAAACATCTGGCTGATGTTATCGAAATATTAATCATTTCCACCAGTGTATTGCAAGCACTGCTGCCCGCCGGGACACCAGCACTCCGGCCAGCGAGCACCAGCGCTCCGGCCACAACATCTAACGATAGGTTTCTATAACGTTAATGCTGAGCTGATGCCGGTAAATGAACTGCATTTATAAACGAGGCAGAGGAATAGCTAAACATAAGACGCACTGAGCAAGAGAGAGCAGCAGAGAGGGAGAAGCCATCGCTAACTGTAAAGCTAAGTAAGATCTGTATCTGTTATATGACTACAACTCCCATGATCCCACGCTACTTCGTGACATCATCCAACTCCGTTTTCTGTTATTGTTTTGGTTTGAGACCCCTAGCGGCAGAAAATTACATATTGCACATTTAAGTGAATTCTGAGGTGCTTGTTTTTGTGTATTTATGCTGTTATACTTCTACTGCTCGACATCTCAGAGGGAAACATTGTGCTTTTTATTTTACTACATTTATTTGTCTGCTATAGTTACTTTGATGACTGAGATTAATAATACATGACGATGTATTATAGATTAAACTAGTTGTTAGGGCTGTCAGAATAATGTGATAATTTCAATTAATTAATCACAAAAAACGTGTTAAAAAAATGAACACTGATTAACTGTGTTTCGTGGTGACCTTTGACCCGGTGCATCACTGAAGGCCACAGTGTTTTTGTCACATGATAGAGGCAGACGAGACGACGCTGCTCGGCCCCGTGAATGGAACATTTACATTTAAGCAACACCCAGATGGAGCTGTTGAAAGGAGCAGTGTTCTCTGCAGGTTCTGCAGGAAGGGATTTTTGTACCATCGGAGAACTTCAGTCTGAAATATCACCTCAACACAAAGCATTTAGCAGCGAACCAGGAGGTCTGAGCTAGCACAGCCTCGGATGCTAACGCTAGCAGCCAGCCTCGTCACGCCACACTGGACCAGGTGTTCAGACTGAGTCAGTCTACCTGTGACCGACTCACTGACTCCCTCACAGAATGGACTGCAGACCGGTTTGGGTGGTCGAGGACAGGGGGACAACTGTGTCCAACATCCAGCAGCTTTACTACGACACATCTGACAACATCCATTGGAACTGAAATGTTTTTAAACACTTGATGTATGTGATTAATTTAGGTTAAACAATCACAGAGTGATTATTAGCTTCATATTTTTTAAATAGCTCGACAGCCTTTAATAAAACACCGGGGGCCGAAGCCTCAGACGTCCAGGCTGAACAATGTCACAGTTGTACACAGACAATGTTATGTAAATGTTATGTACATGTTATGCAGGGCTGCAATGTATGATTATTTTCTCTATAAATTAATCTGCTAATTATTTGATCTATTTATCTATATTTATCTATATATGAGTTGTTTGCAGGGTTGTAAATTAGCAACAGCCACCAGCCAGATGCTGGGAACATGTGCAAGTGGCAGCTAGATTAGTTTCACTTAAAAACCAAAAAACAAACAAAATAAAACAACGGTAATCTACTGGTTAGATTTTAGAATCCATCAGCTGCAGTGGCAGATGGACAAAACAGTTCATTTCCAACTCCTGGTGTTTGTAGAGGTGGGAAAATTGATACAGCATAGTAAGGCGATATTTTAGTTTGGCATTATTGTATCGTCACACAGTGCCAAGTTAACAAATTATTAATATTACAAATACAAATTAAACTTTAGATAGCCTACCAGTATACGTAAATTAATTAGTTTTTCAGCTCACTAGAAACATTCTGCAAAGATGTTGCCAGAGTTTTCCATAGGCGACATAATTTACAGTAATACATCGCACAATATTTTATCACAACACTCAGCATATCGCAGTATATTTGAAATCGCAATAATATTGTATCATAAGTATCGTGATAATATCATTTGTGGATCCTCTGGTGATTCACACGTTTAGTTGTTTGGTCAGAAAATTGTGAAAAGTGCCCTCAAGATTTCCCAAAACCCAGAGGCAGAGTTCCCACTGTCATGGAAAACCAGGAAAAGTCATGGAACTTCACAGTCACATTTTCCAGGCCTGGAAAAGTTATGGAGCTTTGTTGTTTAATGATATTGTTACAATAATCGTACGTAGTTAACCTTTCATGTCATGTGACATAAGAGCAAATCAATTTTCAGTAGCTGTCGACAGAACGCAGCTCTAACATGCCTCGATGTGGGACAACATTTTATTTACCGTCACGTACGCTTCGTCATTTTCCCCGTGGGTCCGTCTCTCCCTTCATGTGAACCAGCTGGAGTTTGAATGAAGTTTGAATCTGTTTTGTTTAAAATTGCTGGGCAAACCTTTTTTTATGGGTCCTTGAAAAGTCATGGAAAAGTTTGGAAATTTTGTCGATGAAAATGTGTGAGAGCCCTGCAGAGGGGGACGTCTGCAAGTTAATCGTCTTGTCCGACCAGCTGATTAAAACCTGAAGAAAGTCACTTCACTGTCACGTCAGACAGAGAAAAGGAGCAAATCTTTACATCAGAGAAGTAAGAATTAAGACGTGTTTTGTGTATAAAATGTCAAGTCAAGATGGTTTCAGATTAATTTTCATTTGATCGACAAATTGATTAATCGACTTATCATTTTGTTTATGTTCAAAAATGAATATCGGCCAGAATATAATGTGATCAATCTTTACACTCTTATTAATACCAGCCCTTAAAAAAGCCCGTGTGGGTCAGACTCAGAGACTGCAGTAGTTTCAGTAAATATAAATATAATAAACTATAAAACTTGTGTAT